CCGAATCCACCGATGGCTCACTCGATGGCCCACAAGTCATGTCGAAGGCTCTCATTTGCACCACAAGTGATGACTGCGATGACTGACACGACTGTCCACTCATTACTAACCAATCAGTGGACGACTCAAGACATGTCTCGATGGATGTCTCACTTTCGGTGTCGCTGGCCATCGATGTGAATGATGTGAACAGTTGAGTGCTTTTATCGATATTTTGCATTTAATAACAAATTGTGATCTCTTTGTGTCTTCGTGTGGATCAGTACTCAATTGATTTGTAATTATTTGAGTGAAACTTAATAACGGTTTCAATGATTGAATCAATGAATCAAACAATCAATCGATTCATACAAACACTGCTCACAGACTGAACACAACAACAATCACAACACCTGTCATATGACTCAATAGTATTCAATACACTCGCAGTCACTGCCACTCAGTCTCGCACTCTCTCTCCACTCGCAGTCAATGCTAACGATAACCAATTGAAAGCTTTTAAAAGCTATTCAATGTTTGCTGTATTCATTGAATGCAGTGATAAGTGGTGTCCACATCAACTGATCCGGTCATCACTGATCACTACCTCTCACTATACTCTCAATCAGTTATTTAAATATTGATTTCAATGTTCACATGATTTTAGTTGTTTGATAATACCGTACAGTATGTTACAAGCAATACAATAATTGATACAAACTTACACAAACTTTAGGATCAATCTGTGCCAATACTATACATTTGTGACCACAAGTGTACCAGTATAATTATATCAATTTATTGTTTAATATAGACTTACTATACATTAAAAGATCAATGACTTATAAAAGGCTATATTTAAAGATAATATAATATATGATACTATTTAATAGATTTAAACANTGCGTCCAAACACATCCCTTAACCGAATTCCTGTCAATCATACAAAGTATTAACAATATTCACAAAATAAGTACAGGAATACAGTAAATGCAATGAAAACTGACTGATTTGTCTAAAATGATCGGAGATGTCTGTCCTCTCATCTGTCAAATCAATGATCCGCATAAGACTCAGACAAATGGGATCATTCACTGCCGCGAGATCGACGAAAGGCTTAAAATAGTTATAAATTAATTATATTCTTATATTCGTATCATTAGAGAAGGCATACCTTGTGCGAGAAGGCATACAAGTGCACGATGGCGGCCACTAACATCTCGAAGCAGATGAGGAAATCCTGTTTATTATGCATTCCTCAGTTAATACAGTCATTCATACAGGTGTCCAATATTTACCTGAAAGTTGCGGGCAATGATGGTGTGGTGATCATCTGTTTTGATACCTTCGGGAATGAAGGCTTGAGTAATGATTCCGAGTTGAATGAATATAGATATCACTACTCCCTGACTGTCATAATCATAATTATTTTAGCTTTAAATTAGGTTTGAAATGATGTCAAACAGTCTTTACTCACAAAAACGAGAAGAAAACAACGGCTTTGATGCTTAAGAACTTAGGCAGAGGTCTCATTGGCGCCAATTCATACTTATAGGTCGTGTAGAATATGACCAAACAGTACATCGCTATCTGTATACACAATAATTAAGTTACATGTATTATGCCATCAATACTTCAATTCTCAAAGCCTCTCATTTGTACCATTTGTGAGATATTGTTAATGACCAGTAGGTATGGGTAGGCATTTCCCGGCCCATAGTGTCCCTCACCATAAACTCCCAGTATTTCGAAGAATCTAAAAATTGTCATCAATTGTAAAAATGATTGTCTGATTGAGTAGTGAATGAATGATGACTAACAGTGCGAGGAATGTAGTGCAGGGCCTGACGACCACATACTGAAGGATCCCGTGTTTGCATCGCTCGAGAAACCTGCGACCGCCCACACAGGGGGCCAGAAAGCACAGGGGGAACAGGTGTTGCACTCCAGGCTTGCACTCTATGGTCACCTCGAGGTCCATCTCGTGGAACAGAAAGTTCAGCAAATACTTCATGAAACTGTAGATCACAAACGCCTCGTAACACTCGCGAAGAGTGTCCACATATATGGCTATCA